TGCTCAAAAACAGAAAAAGATATCCACCCAAACAGTATGGAAGATGATTATGGAGAATTTTTGAATTTTTATTTTTATGTGTATCTGTGTCTGCTAAATTGTATATGATGACTATCAATTGCTTTTTAATAAAAATAAGTCATTGGAGTTATTAAAATATCTGCTGCAGATAACCCACAAAGTGAACATTCTAAACGTAGCACATAGGCATTCGAGAAATGCCTGTTGAATGAGACATTTCTGGTGGTGTGGAGCTGCTTGTAAATGCTTTTCATGGTGATGGCTATGGTGATGATAAATATATGGGTGATGGTCAAGAGTTTTTGACTCTAAGGTGTGACTGCTCTGGTGAGGATGACTGTAGGTGTGCTGGTAGCAATGGAGAAGATAGCTGTAGGGTGATGACTGAGGAGTGATGGCTGTAAGAGTGATGGTTGTATAGGTCAGGGCATAGTGGAGGTAACTGGCTGTGGTAATAATGTTTATAAGGGTAATGGCTATGAGAATGATGGCAGTGCAGGTCATAGTGGCAGTGGTGAGGCAGATAGAGGAAGATAGCTGAAGGGTATTGACTAGTGATTAATTGCTCTAATGATTATGGCTGTAGTGGTGTTGATGGCAGTGGGGATGACTGCAGAAGTAATTGTTATAAGGGTGATGGCTGTAAGGATGATAGCTATAGTGGGGGTACTGACTGTAATATCCATAAGGGTGACAGCTGTGAGGATAATTATTACAAGCGTGAGAGCAACAATGATGATAGCTGAGGATCCTGACTCAGGGGTGGTTGCTGTAGTGATGATGGCTATATGTGTGTTGATGGCATTGGGGATGACTAGAGGGGTGATGGCTATTAAGGTGATGGCTACAAATAGGAGTGATGGTGGTAGGGGTGATGCAAGGTGACCAGGATCATTGGCCCAACAGGCAGAGAGATAGTACAAATTCTGGTTTCTGGATTCTGGTCAGTGAGATAAGAGGTCTGAGTAAGCCATATAATATCAAGTTGATTGGCCACCTCCAGGGAGACGGAGCAGAAGGACTGGTGATGATTGACCTGAGACAACAAGGTAGGGACATTTCTCTGCTTGTTCAACCCAAGAGCTGTCTGCATCAGAATCTCTGGAGACTGAACTGAGACTTCCTTCCTCCCTGGGGGCCGTCAGGGGCTGCGATTGCTGTAACAGTAGGTCACGTGGCAGAGCTTCCTGTATGCTGCTGCTGCCGGGTGTCCATGGCCCTTACCCCTAAGCTGCCAGTGCAACAGTCAGAGTGGCGGCCAGAGGCTCAGTCCATGCAGTACCCCCTGGACAGTGCTGGTGAGGCTAAACAAGAGGCCTCCACATCTTGACACTTAAAGAGTAAGAACGAAGTGTCGCCGGGATAGAGGACCATGCTGCGTCGCAAGCCCTCCAATGCTAGCGAGAAGGAGCCCACTCAGAAGAAAAAGGTGAGGAACATTTCTGGGAACTCACTTCTTCCTTCCCTCTGCTCGCTCAACCCATCCCCTCCAGAACTCATAGAAGTGGGAAGAGCCAAAGGCCATACATTGAGTCTGTAGGCAAGGGCCATTCTCCTGAGGGCAATGAGACAGGGGCTCGAAGATTACTAGAGTATCAGAAGTACAAAAGAGACTTCCAAAATTCTAAAGAAATAGAGTTACAGAATAGACTTAGAATTCTGTTTATAGAATTCAACCTTGCAATGATGGGATACAGACCTAAAATTAGGGGCTATAATCCTAGACTAAAATTTGAGAATCACAAAATACAATTCTCAAGTTGAATCCTAAAACTATACTTAATTGTCTCTGCCCTACCCTGGTCCTGCCACTGCTTCTGCTCAAGCATGTCCTCTCAGGAGCCATCTCACTTAAAGTGTCCTGCTGGGCCACCCCATTTGGAGCCATGATGTTCCCAGAGCCCCTGCCCTTTGGCTGTAGCTGGGACTCTGCTCACTTGGTTCAACTCTGTTGCAGCTGTCCTGGCCCACTGGTGATGGGGCCAACCTGGAGATGGGATAATGGGCCTTCAAACCTGCAGTGGAATGCAGAGGGAGCATAGAGGTTCTTCCTGGGTAGGAAGAAATTATTTGTGAAGAATGAAAAATTATGCTGGTGAGATGGGGAGTAAGAGCGAGGGCTAAGGAGGAAAACTTTGGTGGGGAAGATTCTTAAGGCCAGGGAAAAAGCAAAAAGCAGCTGTCATAGACAGCTGAGATATTCATCTTCCTAGAACAGAGGCCAGACTACAAGATTCCTTGAAGACTCTACCAGATCCAGGCTTCTCTACTTGGATTTAAGGATTTCTAGACTTAATTCTTTGATTTGATTATAAAATTCTCTCAAGAAATCAGCAAGTACATCCCGCACATCCAGCAAGATCCTAGGACCATCCAAAAACAGTCCTGAACCAGGTCCAAGAGGCCAAGGCCTAGCCCTAGGCGTAGGTCCAGGGCCTCCAGGCCCTCACTGTTTCCCCTAGAGCTCAACCCAGGTGCCCTGTGGGGGAACCCCCTTCTCAGGGCAGCAGCTCTCAGGCTGAGGCTGAGCCAGCTGAAAGGCTGAGCTTCAGGTCATTGGCGTGTGCATCCTGCCCCATCTCAAGTCATAGGGTGGCTGCCACTTCCGGCTGTACTCTCCCCACCCCAGCTGCTTTTCTAAGGTTGCAGTGGAGGTGGGTGGGGGTTGGGGAGAGATTTATGAGTTTTCACACAGGCTTTGTCATCTGCCTGCTCAAGCTCTGCTCAGCGCTGGGCCTAGCCAACTTGCCATTGGCTATCTCTCCTTGGTGAGCGGCCCGCTTCCCCTTACTCTCCGCCTAATGGGGGTGGGAAGCCAAGACTGTTTTAGACACTGATGGGCCCCAAACCACAGGGAAGCTGAGCTGGAGGAAAGAGTCAAAAAAGAGCTGACACTTTGATGCTAGTACCGTGTGCCACCTCAGGCAGAGGTGCCAGGGGCACACAAAAGGCAGAAGTCCTAGTCTTCTTACCTCAATTTCATTTTCTCAATTCTGTGCTTGGTGGCTGGGCCTCTAGAATTTCCCCCAGGCCTCTCCCAGGAGAAGCAAGACCCATGTGGTCCTCCAGACAAAGCTCACCCCTCCCTGCTAGAGCCTGGCAGCCTCTGGAGCCACTTTCCAAGACCCAAACCTTGGAAATGTCTTTAGAAAAGCTGAGGTATGATTCCAGAAGGTGGAGACAGTATCTTCCCTGGGCCTGGAGGCAGTGGCTTGCTCCACCACTCTTACCTTGGGCAAGGTGACGTGGTGGAGGGAAAAACACAAAGGCAAGTGAGGCCTTTCTCTCCTGCCCCTGCTCCTCCTCCCAGGCCTGCCAAATAGAGAAAGTGTTGTGCGGGGTGCAAGAAAGTAGAGTTGGAATCCTACCAAGTTCTAGCTGTAGGACCGTGGACAATTCATTGACCTTCTTTTGGTCTCAGTTTTCTCATCTCAGAAAAAGGGTTTAGCTCCTGATCTGTCTACCTCAGAAGGTTGCATGGATCACCTGAAACAATAAATGTGAGAGTGCTCTGTTTAGCTCATGCATGTGCACATGAGGAGGTGTATGCTATAGGCGTGGGCAGGGGTGAGAAGCACATGACAAAAAAGAACAAGAGGGGGTTCCAGACCTGAAGTGAATAAAACAAGACTGAATAGCACTAAGAGCCAGTACTGAATGAGAGCTCATCAGGTACCAGGTGCTGTGCTGTGCATTCCACCCATCTCTTAGCTCCTTGGGTTTTCATGACAACCTTGTAAGTTAGGGACAGGTATTGTCTTTAACCCTATTTTATGCTTGAAGCTCAGAGACTTATCTAAGTTCACACAGCTCATAAGCTACAGAGAAGAAATCTAAGCCAAAATTTGTCAGTCTCCAGAGTGTTAACCTCTCTCCCTCTACACTCTTATCCCCTACTGAGCTCAAAAGCACTAGAAGAATCTGATGAGCATGAAAGACAATCCATCAGTAGGAGGGCTCTGCAGGGAAGACCCAGATGGCTATGGAATGAGGGACCTTCCAGGCAGCAGAACTGAGGCGGGAACAGGCATTCCAGGATGGTAGGATCAAGATGTGGCACCTATTGGTCATCATGAAGGATTGTGGAGGCCCTGACTTAAGGGTGGGGACATACCCCTTGGCTGCCCTTTGCAGATTTTTGCCTCCATCAGGGTCTCTCTCTGCACTCCCTTTGATCTGTTAGGAGGTAGGATATGGACAAGGGTTTGTCCTGGGACTTGCCTCCCCTAAGGAAGATCCCAACCCACAGCACCCCTACTTTCACAACCTGAACCTCCTGCCAAATGAAATGCAGAGGAATCTAGGCTCCCATTCAAGTGCTCAATTGTACCCTCTTTCCAGTCTCTCCCTGCCCGTCTCTCTTCCAATCCCAGCACACTACCCAGGCTCCCTTCCTATAGAACACCTCCAGTAGCACACCCCCACCAGGATGCACTTTGTATTTCCAGTGGCTCGTTAGTTCCCCCAGGCTAATGCCCAATTCCTTAGCATACCTGGCAAGGGCTTTGCATGGCCTTTTCTGCTCTACCTCCCACCATATGCACTGGCATACCCACAATTACATCACCACACTGGAACGTCCCTGACTTTCGCTGCCATTTAAACCCTTCTTAGCAACTCCTGGAGAAACCCTGGCTCCCTTGCATGGCCCAGCTCAAATGTGTTTCCTCCACCATGAAGCCCTCTTGAGCCCTTCCTCCTCCATGCGCCCATCTTCTCTCCTGGCAGCTCCCTCCAAACGCCACCTGAAGTAGCCATTGCACTCAATCTGTTTCTATAAAGGAAGATGACTTTGTAAGCTCTGAACACAATAACATGCATAAGTTTCCAGAGCAGAGATGTGAGTTCAAACCCCTGTTCTTTCCACTGCCAGCTGTGTAACTGTCTAGGGCACTGGGAAGTGAGGCCGTAAGATGGAGTTATGGTGAGGTTGGAGTGACTTGGCACACATGAAGCCCTTGACAGGGTGCCAGGCATAGGGGAGGTATTTTAACCTCTGGTTACTGGATTTCCACACATGCACGGTCCAGTGCCTGGAGCCTAGAAGGTGCTAAGTATATGACTGGTATAGAAATGAGCTGAGAGTCTAGTTGTGGGGACACATGGGGAAAACCAAGCCTGCTTAGGAACCAGGGGAAGAAGATGCCAACAGGAGCACTGTGAGGCTCTGAGGGAATAGTCAGGGGAGGCTTCCTGCAGGGAGCAGCACCTTTAAAACTGGATTTGAAAAACCTGCTTATTAAAGTATAATATTCATACAAAGAAGTGCATAAATCAAGTGTACCAATCAATGAATTTCTATAATACACATCTCTGTGTAAGCAACATCCAGATTGACAGAGCACTTCTAACACTCTACAAGATTCCTTCATTCCCCTGCCAGTAACTACACAGCCCTTTCCCCAGGAATAACCACTATTCTGACTTTCAACTGCATAGAATAGTTTTGTCAGGTTTTGAACTTTCTGTACAAGGAATCATATGTGCAGCATACTCTGGTGTCTGTGAGATTCATCCATATTGTTGGGGAGAGCTGTCCTAAGTTCATCGCTATATCCTAGCCCCTTTTATGACTATGCCACAATTTATATATCCATTCTACAGTTGATGGGAATGTGTTTTTTTTTTTCCATTTAAATTGGATTTTGAAGGAGGGGAGAAACTACGGTTGACAGAGAAAAAGGTGGAGTGTTCCAAGTGGAGAATGCCCTGGGTAAGAGCCTGGAGGTGGGTCATAGGAAAGGCTAAGGCATACACAGACATTTGGACATTCACTGAGGGTGGCTGTGTCAAGCACTCATTCCTTTCATCCTCCCAACACCCTGGTGAGGTAGATGTCCTTGCCTTCATTTTACCCATGAGGAAACAGAAGCCCAGAGAAGTTGAGGAATTCAGCCAGCTTTACACAGCTGGTCAATGGCAGAACCAAGATGTGAACCTTTACCAGCTGACACCGAGTGAAGAGACTGAGGTTTAATAACTTGGTGAAGGTCACACGTCTCAGAGTTGAACTCAGCAATGTCTGACATCAGAAAAAAAATAATTCTTTCCAAAATGTTAAACATGAAGAACAATGTTTGGTTCTACCTGCCCCCTGGGCATGACTCCCAAGAAGGCTTCACCCCAAATGGAGGTCAGGCAGAAAATCCAAAGGTACTCAAGGATATCCACTCATAGTTGGGTGGGAAGTCACTTTGGAGACACTGGAAGAGATTCAGGATATTTGAGGCTATCTCTGAGGTTGGAGGTAGGCTGGGCAAAAGGCCACTCTGGCTGGCTGACCCCCACCCCAGTTGCCTGGAGAACTTGTACTGCCCTTCTCATGTCCCAGGGCTGAAGATCGGCCAGCTGGGCCCAAGTCCCAGTACCACCCTCACACCTCTTTGGGATAGTTTCCTCCACTTTGGGCTAAAGCTGGGACAGAAGGGCCCTGACACAAGGTCCCAGGAGCCAAAGTCCCCCTCCCAGTTCCCAGACTGTAGATTAATGACAGGAAAAGGAAAGAACTGCGATTAGAGGGTGGCCTGGCGGTGAGTTTACTCTGCCCCAACAAAGCTCACTTCCGGCCCCACACCGGCCCTCCTGCTTGCTTTCCAGGCTTGCCAGTCTCTGGGGTTTCAGGGGCAACTATAAGCCTCCTGGCCTCAAACTGAGGTGGTGGAAGAAAGGTCATTATAGACCCCATTGGCCTATAAATAGCAGCCCAGCCTGTCTTCTAGGCCCCAGGCCAGCCTGTTGCCCACCCTCTCTCTGTTCCCTCTTTTCCAGGCAGTGAGAGCAAGAATTCATCTGGGTGGCTGCATCCTAGCTATATAAGAGGAGGAAATAAATGGAAAGTAGAGGAGGGAAGAGGAAAGAAAGGAAGCAAAAGAGGAAAGAATAATGGGTGGGGAAAACCAAGGAAGAAGGATGGAAGGGATGCATGGGAACCAAAGTGGCCATACCATGCTTTCCTCCCACCCCCAACTCCTTTTCCACCTCCTTTTCCAGCTCCTCAAAGTAGTATAGAAGAGGCTTTCTAACAGAAGTTGTAGGTGTTCCACCCAGGAGGCCTTCATTGTGATAGTGTCTGCTTGACCTGACTGCTGACCTAGTTTCTGGTCAGTTAGCTTGCTGCAACCTTGAGGAAGGTGTGGCGCCTGACCCTGATTGCTGACCTGCCTTTGGTCAAGACCCACCAAGAGAATAAAAGTGCTTAATTGCAGTCCCCAGGAGTTGAGGCTAATTGTGTATGTGTTGGGAGAGCAGGTGATATTGCCCCAGCCCTGAAAGGTTGTCACTGGACCCTCCTTTCATAGCGAAGAGGATGTGAAACTTTCAGCTTTGTGCAAGTTTGAGGCTTCAGTTCCTCAAGCCTTTATCTCCTGTGTCTGCAGTCTATCCTGCTCTATCTGTCTGGCCATCTGTGAACCCTGGTTCCTGTGTGTATCTATGGTCTTGACTGTTGGTCTTTATTCAGGCTCAGCCTCCACTTCTTGTGACTAAAACCTGCCCTCATTACCTGTCTGGCCCTGGTTTCTGCTGCTGTCTTGGTGTGTGCATGCACATACAGTTAAGAAAGCTCATTTCCTGAAAACAATCTCATCACTGCAAACAATAGGTCAGGCCTAAAATTCTGAATATCAGCACACATCAACAGTAGCCAGTTCATCACATTAGTAGATAAGGTTAAAAACTGAGATGAAGGAAGAGAACATGGCAGCTTTCTTTTACTAAATTATCACCAATCTTTTGTGTCTCAAATCTATGGGCACCTTCTCTGACTGCTTCTGCTGAGGTTTTTGAGAAAGCCTAATGCCAGCTCTTATTGACTCCTGGGATTGTTTTGCTCTTCTTGGGACACAGATTCACCAGGTTTGGGCCCTAATGCATTTACAGCTATCATTGTAACAGACTATGCTTGCAGCAGGCCCATAACATGAAGGCCAGGCTGTGGGGTTTGGGTTTGCTGTGTTACGTAAAGGTGATGCTATTGTTCGTGTTGAGGTACGTCTCTAGGAGGAAATATGTGTTTCCTCCAACTCGTTTAGTCTTTCACTCCAGGGTTCTGGGAGCCAAACATCAGGTATTGGTGGAAATGTGGACTTAGTCTGAGGCCTAAGTGAGGTCCAAGTCTCCTGAGGTCAAGAGCTTACTCCAGGGCCAGCAATGGAGGCCATTGTCTGCTGAAGAACAGGATGAAGCCAGATAACTCCAAGTACATCTTGGTGCTTCACCTCATTAGCCCTGGGACCTCAGGACACATGTGGCTGCCCAGACCTGGAGTATGTGCACATGTGTTGGGAGTGGAAATAGCTCCTTACTCAGCCAGCCATCTTAGCACCACCGATTGCAACATCTCTGCTTCTTCCAGCTCTCACTTCAGCGTTCCAGCAGTTTCAAGGATTTTGCCAAATCCAAACCCAGCTCCCCAGTGGTGAGCGAGAAGGAATTTAATCTGGATGATAATGTGAGTTTCTGGGCCTCCTTGTTGAGGGGTCTGGCTGGGAGGGAGGGAGGAGGGGAAAGAGGAGTTTTAAGATTGGTGAGGTAAAGTCTGCTTTACCTCAGAAGAAGGTCCACCTCTCCCACCTACCAAAATCCTGGGCCCCAGAACTCACCTGCATTGTTTTCTATTACAAATTAATTATAAATTAATAGGGCTGAAAACAGGACTGGGGCTAACAAGGAAGGGGATGGGAGCTTCTCATTCCTGCCCCTCCATCCTTGCTGAGACCCAAAGTCTTCCTTCCCCCAAGTCTTGAACCCATGCAGGAGCACCAGGGTCTCTAGACCTCTTCATTTGTTGTCACAGATTCCAGAAGATGATTCAGGTGCCCTTACCCCAGAGGATACTGGGAAGAGTGGCAAAAAGCTGGGGAAGAAGTGGAGGGCCGTAATTTCCCGAACCATGAACAGGAAGATGGGCAAGATGATGGTGAAGGCCCTGTCAGAGGAGATGGTGAGACCTGGGATCCAGGGGAGGGGTAGAGGCAGATAGAACAGGCATCACTCTGACAGGGTTGGAGCATGGCCACCTTGACAGCCACTGCTCAGGTACCATGCCTGAAGGCCCGATTCAATACAAGAAGAAAGGTCACATGGGAGCAGAGCTCACTCATCCATGGACATGGCAGCAAGGCACCACAGTCCTGAGGGACCAGGGATGGGGTCTGAGGAGGAATGAAAATTGGGATAACAGAAGCTTCCTGAAAAGACAAACTGGAGGAGGGTGGGTAGCTGAACAAGAGGTGAGATCACCTGAGCCAAATTCGCCCACCATAAATTTCTGCTTGGAACCAGCCCCTGGGGTTGGGAAGGCTTGATTCAAAGAGGGGTTCCTATGAGAGAAAATTGGAGAAGGCTGGCTTTGGCCCAAGGAAGGAGGGTGGGACACACAGCTACGGGGCAGACACAGTCAAGTAGCTGAAGTTACACAGAGTCTGGCGTGCTTGTGACTCTTATAGGAGGCTCCAAGGCAGTGGTGTGCTAGAGTCAGCTAGTGCTGGCTCATACCAGCTCAGGACAGCAGTTCATCAAATTTTCAGGAATTTTGTGAGTCAGGTATGAAACACCACAATATTGAAAATTAAATTATATAAACTAAGAATTAAATGAATTATATTAAAAATAAAGAGAATACAGTCAATTCTCAAAAGTCCTAATTCTTGGACTGCTTTTCACTATTCTCTATGCCCCTGAGGTTATTTTCATCTATAGTCTCTGTGTGGAGGAAATAGCCTATGATGGTGCTCTGCTTGGTCAGTGACATCATACTGGTAGAATGACATGAGCCATGAGGAGCGTTTATAACACAGGAATTAGTGACTGCTACATATCAGGGTTTTTATTCCCAAAGAGCCAGTTGTGAAAGAGTTACCTCTGCACTGTAGTATGGTGAGGCTGGGGAGCTCTGGAGGCAGGCCAGCTAGGGAAGGAAGTGGGTGGTGCTTGTTCACAGCCTTAAGAACATTCTTCCATTACTTCTCATCTGGAAACTTGGGGTGATCAAGCGCTTACCCTCAAGTAAAGATTGAATAAAATGACAAAGGTGCTTGGCACATGGAAACATAGTCAAAAGTAGTAACTCTTTGACTGTGTCCTAGCAACAGCTTTGAGTCCAAGCTCTGCATGTACATTTAGCACTTTAAGCTGACAAAGCACATTTACACGTGACCCTAGTTGAGCCTTATTCCATGAGGTGGGCAGGGCAAGGACTGTCATTCCCACCTTACAGAAGAGAAATCTAGAGCTCTAAGAGTGCCATGGTACCTGTGAGTGGAAGAGCTGGGGCTGGAGACAAGCCCCAGTCCTCTGCCAAGCCCACGTTCATTTCCTCTGGACCCGGGGCTGCTCCATGTACACCCCAAGAGAGGCCACTCAGGGCTCCTTGCCCCCCTTCCCATGTAGGGAGATACTCTGGAGGAGGGTTCAGCCTCCCCGACATCTCCAGACTGCAACCTGGACAGCCCTGGCCCTGAGAAGATGGCACTGGCCTTTTCTGAGCAGGAGGAGCGTGAGCTCCCAGCACTCAACCGCCAGGAGTCAACAGGTGAGTAGGGGATGTGGGAGGACACATGCTGAGTCTGGAGAAAAAAACTGTGTTAGGACCAGGCAAGTTCCTGTTTGGGAGGGGCAGACAAGAGAAATGAACCTTTATGGTTTGCTGCTGTGAACTTCCCAGCCCTCTTCACATTAAATCTTCACAAAAACTTCATGGATCAGTACTATTATTTTTTTTAAATAATTGGGCCAGTACTATTATTATCCCTACTTTATTGATGTGAAAACTGAGGCTCAAAGAGGTTAAGTTACTTGCCCAAGGTGACTCAGTCTTGAACTCAGGTTTGCCCTAGAGGAGCCTCGACTTGCTGTCCCCAGGCCCTGGAGGACTCAAGGGCAGAAGAAGGGCCCCATTGCCATCTTGGACCAGTCCACTTCCACCCTACCAAGGAGAGCTAAAGTCTACACCTGCCTGGGCCTCTGATATCTCAGGCTGGGAGTAGGAATAATGGGTCTCCAGCTGTGAAGACTCAGCCTCTTGGACCCCAGACCTTGGTTTGCTGGACTCAGGGTACCACTTGGCATCTTCTAGATGTCCATGGGGCTGGACAGGAGGTTCTAGCAGCCCTGCCTGGATGAAGGCCTTTGGCCTTTGGGCTACAGACCTGCAAAGGAACCAGCTCACCCCTCAGGCTAGTTCCAAGTTCCCCATTTGTTCTCTGGCTCTTCAAACACCTCCCTGCTCCTCAACTGAAAGCCATTTAAAATGCCCTTCATTCTGCCCTTCCCAGAGAGAAAGAGCCCTTCTGAGTTTCCAGGTGATGTAACTAGATACTGAGTCTTATTAAATAGAGAAAGTAAAGGGTGTGGCTTCTTGGGTAGAAGGAGCACTGGAGTGGGAGTCAGGAGACCTGGAATGTAATAGACTCAGTGCTGCCAATTTTAAGGTGACAGACCTTAGGCAGGTCGTTTGGCCTGTCTGGCCTCAATATTCATGGTGTTGGCCCAGTTGGTCTCTAGAGACCCTCCCAATTTGCCCATTCTTTGGTTTGTGAGCTGTTTCTCCTTCTTTAGTCAACTGTTCTCGTGTCTAAGGCCCTGGAAGTGAAGCTGTGCTGCAGCAGGGTGACCAAGGGGATGGGCCAGAATCCCTGCTGTAGTACAAGAGTGGCCAGCATCCATATTTCTTCCCAGCATGTAGCCCCATGACTTCTAGAGAGACCCCCTTGAAGGCCTGGGGCATAGGTGACCCTCCTTCCTTTCCAATCTCCTGCAGGCAGTGAGCTCTGCAGCCCCATCCCAGGCTCTGGCAGCTTCAGGGAGGAACCACCTGCCCCTCAGTACACAGGGCCTTTCTGTGGCCGGGCCCGAGTTCATACCGACTTCACTCCCAGCCCCTATGACCACGACTCGCTGAAACTGCAGGTAAGATTGGCATCCAGGCCCCACTTGAGCTTGGCGGGTTGCACCCATAAAGGAGGCTGGACTTAGCCACGGTAGGACAGTGTCAGGGGAGGCTCAGGGACAACCCCTCAACTCTCTCCTGATCTGCTCTGCTCCCTTCTCCTCCCACAGAAAGGAGATGTAATTCAGATTGTTGAAAAACCACCTGTGGGCACATGGCTGGGCCTGCTCAATGGCAGGCTGGGCTCTTTCAAATTCATCTACGTGGATGTGCTGCCTGAGGAGGCCGTGGGGCCTGCCCGCCCCAGCCGCCGACAGAGCAAAGGCAAGAGGCCCAAGCCCAAGACTCTGCATGAACTGCTGGAGCGCATTGGCCTAGAGGTTTGAGCTTGAACTTGCACTAGCATCTAGGATCAAGGGAGGCACCCTTGCCCCAGCTATGTGGGAAAGGAGGGATCCCAGGCAGGGGTGGCTTGTAAGCAGCCACGCTGGCGGCCTGCCTCTGCCCACAGGAACACACATCCACTCTGCTGCTCAATGGCTACCAGACGCTGGAGGACTTCAAAGAGCTGCGGGAAACACACCTGAATGAGCTGAACATCACGGACCCACAGCACCGGGCCAAGCTGCTCACAGCTGCAGAGCTGCTGCTGGATTACGACAGTGAGTGGGTATAGGAGCCAGGTGGGGGTGCCTGCTGGCAGTTCAGGGACGGGAGGCCTCTGCTCTGGGCCCAGAACAGTGGGAGGATACTTTCCACACTTGAATTCCAGCCTCAGGCAAAGTTTGTAGGGAGTAGGAGTTTAAGGGATTATCAAGCCTCACTCTCTTTGGGATGCTAGGGGAGATTTAAGGCCAGAGAAGGTAAGGCATGAACTCAAGGCCTCAAAGCTAGGTGATGGCAGAGGCGGGATTCAGGTGCAGATGTCCTGGTTCCTGGCTTATTGCTGAAGAAGTTTGAACTCTTAGGCCTGGAAACCACAAGAAGGGCAGGGTTCGTGGTGGGTGCCCAGATGGAGAGACTGCCTACAGTGTCCTTACCCCCAGGGTCCCTACCCCCCACAGGGCTCTCTGGGGCTTCTGACCTCCTCCCTGCTAAGTCCCAAAATTCCACATTCTGTATCCCACTCTCACCCCTGGCAGCCGGCAGCGAGGAGGCAGAAGAGGGCGCCGAAAGCAGCCAGGAGCCAGCGACACACACTGCGTCAGACCCCAAGGGGGACATTCCGCGGGACTCAGGCTGCTTCGAGGGCTCAGAGAGTGGGCGTGATGAGGCGGAGCTGGCAGGAGCTGAGGAGCAGCTGCACTGCCTCTCCTTAGCCGGGTCACCTTGAGCAGAGGTGGCAGTGGTGGGCCAAGGCTGGGCCCAAGCAGCACAAGCAGCAGGGATGGACCTGGCCTACCGCAGTGGCCTGTGCTGGAGGACTAGTGGAGGACTGGAACTGAGCCCGGCCCTGCTCCCCTCAGGGCACCTAGGTCCAGAGAGGCTGGGCAGGGCCCTACAGGCTTGGCTGGAGTAAATGAAGAGCCTCTGAGAGCACATCCCACCTGCCTGGCTCTCTCCTTCTACCAGCTACTGACAGCGCAGCCTGCTCTGGTCATGGCCACAGCCAAGTGGGGCACCAAGGAGCCTCCTTGCCCAAGTCTCTCACCACCAAAGCCTCCCAATCCTCCTCAACCCCACAGCACCTTCCCTGAGGCACTGCTCCTGAAAAAGGGGCCAAGTCAGCATTTCAGGTCAGTCTCAGGACCTTAGGGAAGCTGGCCATTTAAAAAGATTCTAATTGATCATGAGTAAATCCAGACTGCCCTCAATAAGGTCTGAAGAAAGCCACATGTACCTTTTCTCCTCCTAACTTTCTGATAGGTTTAGCCACTAAATCACTATCTGATTTGATCCAAGTGTCTTCCCCAATCTGTCTAGGATGGTCAGGATTAGAATAGATAGATTCTGAGGGCCTTGCCAACTCTGACATTCTGTGACATTAAATGTTACCCGTGGCCCAGGACAGCAGTGGGGTTTACTGAAGGGGCTGGAGGGGCCTTGGGCTCACAAATGAAATGGCTCCTTCTGCTCATCTGTTCCACACCTCCCCATGTAACTCAGGACAAACAGCAACTTACCCCAGCTTAAAACAATGCCCATATCTCATACAACGTGTGCCCTCCCCTTCCACTTCTGGCCCCTTCAAATGACACTTCTCCCCAAGGTCAATGGAAGATGGTCAGACCTGGCTTCCAAGGGCAGAGTGGCCCCTAAGGAGCAAGATGCAGGTCTAGGCCCAGACTTGGCCTCTTTTGTGAGTCCTTACAAGCAAAGAAAACACAAACTAGGCAAGTCTACTATCCCAACTTTACTAAAGATTTTGATGTACCCTGAGCTCCAGAAGGGGAAGGAGAATGTCTATTGGTAGGAACCTCCCTTGACACCAGTGCCAAATCTGTGCCCTGAATTCTAGAGTAACCCTTCCCCGGGACTCAACTGGCCCAAGGACAAATAGTGCCCACTAAATCTAGGACTGCGGCTTAGTGGACACATTTCAGGACCTACTACCAGGAACTTTGGTAAAGCTAGCTTGCGGGGAAGGGTTTTGTGTAAATATAAGGGGGTGGAGAGGGATAGGTTAGCAGCAATAAATATAAGTAAAACAAAATTACTGTCTCCAGTTATCTTTCCTATGGAAAGAAGGTTGGAGGAGAGACAGACCAGTCTCCTTCAAAGCTGGACACAGAAAAATGTCTCCATTGTCCTTTCAGGGCCATCTGCCTCTTCCCTAAAGATGATCAGTGCCCTTGATCCTGTTGACTTAAAGTTCCAGTTTGAAGCCCTAGCTGGCTCCACCTTTCACAATAACCAGCTCCCCTAGGAGCTCAGGCTCTCAGTGCCACAGGTTTTCTGGGGTCTGAGAATTAGGAGTAGCTATATCTCTCTAGAATTATTCCTTTAACAAGAGTCTTGAACACCTCTACCCTAATGAGGAAGGCCCTGCACTGGGGACTGTCCAGGGTCCAAAAGGGAGAGATTTGGATTCAGCTGGGCCTTTTCTCTGAGGCCACCTCTTCTTGGGCCCCACCCTGTGCCCACAGAAGCTACACCATCTCCTGGGCAGTGAGATGGAGACAAGGACTCCTGGCTTCCTTTGTTTCTGCATTAACTGCATTAGGGAGGGCAAACTGGAATGAGAGCTGCCACCAGAGTAAAGACAAGGCCACTCTACTTCCAGGCTTTCTTCTCAGGTACACTCATCCCACTGCCAATAGTGGCTGTGGGCATCAGGGAACTGTTAGAATCATCCTAAGCAAAGAAACAAGGAGCTCAAAGGGCCTCAAAGCTTCAATGGTACTGAATAATGGCTGTCATTTAGTGAGCACTGACATGTGTGCTAGGCACCAAATGCTTTACATTTCTTCTTTCATATAATCTTCACAGTATCTCTGAGGTAGGTATCATCACCTTCCCAACTTACAGAGGATAAACCTGAAGATCAGACAGTTTAAATAAGTTGAGTAGAAAGTCCACCAAGCTTTCAGAGCCTCCCCCAGCTTTCTGGAGGGCAATCTGACCCTCTGTTAAGTGTCTTTGACACTCTTTGACCCAGCCATTCCCCTCCAAGGATTTGATCCACAGAAAGAGCCACACAAGTACATACAGATATATGGACAGACATTCGCGACAACTTTGTCTATAAGACACTGGGAACAACATGAATGGGGAATTAGTTAGAAACATTATGGTCCATTCACACAATACCATGCAGCCATTAAACATAATGTTGTAGAAAAATATTTAATGATATAGGGAAAATATTCATGACTATTTATTGTTTACTTTTAAATTTTAAAATTATACAAATAATGTACAAACATTTTCGTTGTAAAAGAAGTCCACGCTATATCACAGGGAAGACTCAAGTGCTGTAACATTATTATTCGGGTGATTCCATTTTTATTCAAGAAAAGGAAAACATACACAAGAAAAAGACCAGAAAGATCTGCAGCAAACAGTTACCAGTGGTGATATTGTGAGGTGAGCAGGGTGGGATTGGGGGAGTAATGGAGAGAAATATTTACTTTCTACATTCTTGTTTTATTTCAACTTCAAAAGAATCTATTATTTTAATATCTATTTTTAAAAGGAACAATATTTTAATTCTTGAAAAAATTACAACTAAATAAACCAATAGGCCCAAGCCTCTGGTCTCCACAAATTTGGAGTAGTAGCAAAGTCATTATCTTGCTGCCTTTTGGCACAGGCTTCTGGAAACATAGCGAGTAAGGGGTAAATAATGCCCAAAATGCTTAAAATCCACACACACCAAGGGGGACCTTATCAGAGGAGATTCCTAAACCCTTTAAAAACCCTGGGTAATACCTATCTATTAAATCTAAGCTGGATAAAGGAAAATATCAGAAAAAAAGAAATGAGAATGAAAGAAGGATGTTTTGAACTTCTCCCTTACCCTGGGGAGGGAGTGGGGGGCATCTCAGAGCTACCGGGCTGTAGTTTGGTCTGTAGGCTGAATACAACCTGAAAGTAGAAAGTTGTGCAAGGACTCCAGTGATCACAGGACTTTGGGAGGGTCAGATAAAGAGAGGTAACAAGGAAATGTAGACTGCAGGTCAAGACCTGAGGGGTCAGAAAGGCAATACCAGTTGGGTCTACAGCCCAAGGCCCAATGTTCTTCCTCCAGGCAAGGCTGCTAGAACCTCCTGTCCAGCCCCATGGACATCTAGAAGATGTGGTACCCTGAGCCCAGCAAACCAAGGTCTGGGGTCCAAGAGGCTGAGTCTTCACAGCTGGAGACCCATTATTCCTACTCCCAGCCTGAGATGTCAGAGGCCCAGGCAGGTGTAGCCTTTAGCTCTCCTTGGTAGAGTGGGAGCGGACTGGTCCAAGATAGCAATGGGGCCCTTCCTCTGCCCTTGAATCCTCCTGGGCCTGAGGACAGCAAATTGAGGCTCCTCTAGGGCAGGTGAGGCCCAGCTGATAGGAGTTAGGGCCTACTTGATTTTAAGTCTTGGTTTTGTCACTCACTTAGCTGGGTCTGGGTCATCTTGGACAAGTCACTCAACCTCCTTGAGTCTCACTTTGTACATCAATAAAGTGGTGATAACAGTACTAGCTCCATGGAGTTATTACAAAGATCGAATTAACTAGTATATGTAAAATACTCACAAAATCAACATTTAGTGGGTGATAATATGTCAGGTCCCCTCAATCCATACCACCCTGCTACTTGCATTTCATTCCCCTCAAGGTTCATCTCTCCTCAGACCCGTAGTTAGTGTAGTAACCAAGAAAAAAGGCTTTGGAGTTAAATTAAAGTGTCTTCAAATCCTGGCTCCACCACTTATTAGTTACCAGACTTTAGGTAATTACATACATATACATTTCTTTTCTGTAAAATAAGAATAATGATCTACATTGCAATATACAAACGTATCAAGTCAACATATTGCACACTTTATACTTATACAATGTTATATGTTAATTGTATCTCAATTAAAATAATTTTAAAAATGAAAATTAATATAAAAAAGAATACCAATCTAATAATACCTACCTCTTCGGGTTGTTAGATAAATAAATTCAATAATGCTTATAAAGTTCCTGGCATGTAGTGACAATAAATTGTGGCTTCTGACCTTTTGTAATCTCCAGGGCACTGAGCTCAAGATTGAGCACAAAGCACCCTCCCCCTTGTCAATATGTACTTGTCTGCATACTAACTGCTATTGCCCAGAGACAAATTGATTTACAAGGTCCCAAAGCATGCTGGGATTCAGGATAGATGGTGCCAGCTCTGGTGCCCAGAGAGGCTGGTGATAGAGAGAAGCCCACATGAGAAGCCTTGGATAGCCTAGCTCTCCCTGGCTCAGAGCATGATGGGCATTAGACTTGTTTCAGGCAACTCCCTTGAACATCCATGGGCTGCTAGAAAGAAGAGGATAAAGGCCAGATTCATGAAAAAAGAGTTGGAGTCCAGCCAACTCCTCTCTAGTTCAGGTTTAGAGGTGCCTTCTTTCCCCTGGGCCATCAGGGGAAGTAGCTGGGGGCATCAGCACCACCCAGTTGAACTATCTCCTTTCACTTGCTGCCTCTATTTCTCACGACCTTGCCTTAGCCTTCTCCAGGTAGGTTCTGATCAATTTCCCCAAAATCCTGCAACAAAGGCTCTTGCCTCCACAAATTCTCTCTCCTTAACCTCAAACCTTATAGCAGTGTGCTCTGACACAGGCCACTGCCGCTGCTTCCAACTCTTGCTCATAGAGATCCCTGCCCAGTTTTTTCACAGTGGAAGCCAAAGTGGGGCCATTAGTGACTACAAGTTTAATAAGAAAGCTAAAAGAGGTTTTTAAAGAATAGAGGACATTGATCACTGTAGTCTCAGTGAGATCCAACACCTTCTCGACCCTGCCAAGTCAGGAAATTCAGGATGAGGTATGAGGTTTCCCAGCTGGGAAAAAGAAGTAGCTCTCTCACCTCCTTCACAATAGAGGCTACCTTAGCTTCTCACACAAAGTAGGCCCCATTCTATATTATTCAGCCAAAAATACAATCAAGTGGGAAGGAACTGCCTCCCCTCTAGACCCAGCCAAGACTCCTCCTTTAGGAAGGCCCTAAATAAATGTAATTCTATAGCACTCGATATGTAGGCTTCACCTTTTCCTATAACTTCACTGTTACTAATATAGCATTTGTATACCATTGCCTCTGGGACCTGCCAGGGATAACTCAGAAAGAGCCCAGGGCAATGGCCCTCACAAAGGGACAGCCAACTTGACTGTGGGAACTCGACAAGGCAACTTCCTGACTTCCTGTGCTAAAGAAACCCCACCAGTCTGGAGAAAGAGTTAAGAGATTTAAGTTTAAAACAAAACCCCAACAAATACCCCCATATCAGACTATTTATAATAAGCCCTCTATATGCTTAAAATGGAGAGATCATTGGCCAAATTCATCCAAAATGGCAAAATTTTTTAAAAAAATCCTAAAATCATTGTTGGTTCTCATCTTACAAGAAAATGGGGTCAGCAATGCGATTTCTCCTAAAGTTAACCCTAGTACATGGTCAGTTTTCAACAAGTACTTATTGAATGTTAAATAAATGAAAGGCTCATTTTATTCAAGTGACACTTGGAGTTATTCAAATCCATTTATCTGTCTATACCTGGGTTATGCCAGAAAGCAACCTGGACTGAGAGTCAGGACATCTGGATTCTGGTCTTTGCTCTACTAGTAACTGTCTAGGTGACCTATGGTAAAGACACAGTACTTAATTCAATGAGAGAGAGAGAATGTGCAAGAACGAGAGAGAGTGTGCAAGAACATGTGAAAGTGGCATGGACTACATGATCAGAATGTTCTTTTCAGTGATGTCATTCAACAGAGCCCAGGTTTTATGACAAAGAATCATCATGTCTCTAATTTGAGCACAAAACTACAACCCTTTTAGCCACATTGGAACAGCCAGGTAGCTGAAAATGGGCAGTGGCTGGCAGAACAGGCAGTGGGGGGATTGCGGGCTGAAGAAAGTAAAGAGGCATGGAATGTTAAGGAGGTAATTATACCCCAGGTTCCAGAGTTGGAAAACTACTTCTAAATTATGGCCTCTTCATTTCTTCACCCATGGGAGAGTATGAGCCATCAAGATCTCATTTATTAACCAAGTAGAAAACCCCTTAATACCAGAAGAAAAATAAACACAGCCAATTTACAGAATACAAATGGCAAGAAACATAAAGCAGAGGGGAGGTATAGAAAACGTTTAACTTCATTGTTAACAAAATGAACAGAAATTAAGTGACACTGAAATATCAGTTTACCACTATCAAATTATCAAATGTTTAAATGAGATGTGTTGAAGAAGGCTCTCTGAGACGCTGCTGGAAGGACAATCTGGGACAGCCCTTTTGTGAAGTAATTTGGCCATATTTGTCAGAAGCCTTTAAAAGAGCACTCTCTTTGACTCAGTAATTCCACTTCTAGGAATCTATCCTAAGGAAATAATCACAGATATGCCTACAGATAAAAAAGTTCACAGCATTATTTATAATAATGATAAATTGGAAACTCCTAAATGTTTGACAATAGGGAAAGGGTTATGTACATATTATGGAGTCATTAAGAAATATTTTCAAATAATTTATAATGATATGAAAAATGCTAAGTAAAAAAGCAGGATTACAAAACAATATTTGTAGTTGAATTCCAGTTATATTTAAAAATACACATGCACAAACACACACACACACACACACACACACACACACACTCACACACACACACACAAGACTAGGAAGAAATACACCAAAATGTTAACAGTGATTGTTATACCTTTGTAATGAGTTTATGGGTGATTTTTTAAAATCTTCTTACTTTCCTGTACTTTCCCAATTTTCAATAATGGGCATGTGTTACTTTTAAAATTAAAAAGCACATCAAAGGTGTAAGGAGAGGAGGTTTGTTTTCTAAGTTTTCCAAATATTTAGAGGTTGAAAGGGACATTTGAGATAATCTAGTCCAATGGTTCTGAACCCTATCAACCCCAACCCTCTCTTGGTATATACAATATTTTGTAATGTACCCTTTGCCACTTTGAAATGAATTTCATAGTTAATATAACATATTTATACACATAATTTCCAGAAGAGCAATATAATACACTAACTATAATATAAAGGAGAAATAAAAGGAAAGTAGTTTATAGTAAGATAATATATATTTCAATATACAAATGCTTAGGCAAGACTATACTAAAGATATAAGAAAGTAGTCAGATGCTTCCACTTATATATGTACATTCACTGTGAATTCGACTGCTAAAAAGGAAGCCTAATACATGTATGTTATACTGGCAACTTAAAAATCCATGAATGGCATTGCTATTGGTGACATGATTTTCAAAAGTCACATCTCTTGGTAAAATTCTGAACAAAATAAAGTACGATCTTCCCTCAATTTACACAATGATTGCATTCCTGGAAATGCAGTGTAAATATTAAAACTATAAAACGTAGTTTATGGTCATTTGTATAATAATTAGGCCCAATTGATTATACTGGGTTTTTCTACCTACGTTAACATCTTATAGGCCATTCAAAAGTTTCAGATATAGATTTCTAGTTCCCATTCTCTTTCCATATTTATCCGAAACATGAAATCTACAAAGACTCCTTTTATGTGAGTTGAGTTTGCATCCTTTAAAACTGATGATATTCACAGTTTTAGCCTTTGATACTATTTCTAAAACCTACCATCTAAGAACAGCAAGTGAGTCCTAGAATGTATTTTCAAAATTGACACAAATGCTTTTTGAATTATTGGAAGCATTGCTCTTCTTTAATAGCACCAAGGCATGAGAGCAAATAACCATTTTTTAAAAACCATTTACTGTGATCCTTTGGTGATTTTCCCTAGCTTGGCCCCAGCCTCAGGAGTATAAGATAAACTGAGCTGGAAGAAAAGGACCAACAGGGCCACGCTACGGGGAGAGGGAGAGGGACTACACTACTAGGTTACCACTTGAGCCAATCCAAGCGGTACCAGAGGGCTACCAGACAGAGAACAGGTCCCTCTCTATGCCCAACTAAGCTAAGGGCCTTCTCAAAGGAAGGGGATCAAAAGGTAGGGAAGGGGGCTAGTCACTCATGCTAGGCACAAGTAAAGAAATGAGGCAGAAGCACAAAGAAGCAGACATCCCTGTATTTCTAAAACCATTCAAGTCTCCTTCATTAATTGGCTTCTCCCAAAAAGAAAGATTTCTTTATTAAGAAATACCAGAGAGTGAAAAATACACCACACATACACATTTGTAGGCTCACGCAAAAGTGCAGAGATTTATGTATTAAATTGCATTTAAGTTAAAAAATAGATTTTAAAACAAAATATTTTTTTTCTTTCCCCAGCAAGGTAAAGTGATTTGGTCAGTAGGAAAAGGGGCTTTAGTGGTAAAGGCAGGAAGATTAGGGCAGGAAGAATGGAATTTAGCTGCTATAGAATTAGAACTTACCTCTTCTACTAGGGGAAAAAAAGCAAAGAGGGAATGGGTGCTTTTCGCTAGGGCGAGGGGCCCAAGAACAAAATAGTCATAAAGAAATGACCCCAAATAGCCAAATTCCACCAACCCCCAGAGATTTTGGACCCATCCCAACCACCCTTGCCTGGGGAAGTGGGGTGCATAGGAAATTTAAGGAATGTGGAGAAAGGGAAGAGGCAGAGAGAATGTCAGCCATTGAAAGGAACAAACAATTTAAGGCCTATTCCTAGGGAAGGACCAATTCTTCAATCTCCCCTCTGATCAAAACTCAGATGGACAGTCCCAGCTGGTATGTGGTATGAATAGGATAGATTTTCAGACCAGAAAATACAGATTTATAAAGGAAAAGAAAGGGAGGGTGTACAAAATAGCAAAAAATTAAAAAATAATCAGTTCATACTAAAGAGATTTCCATGTTGACCTTTCACCTCAGAAAGAGAATGAAGAAAAGTGGTTGAGGTTAAGTTGAGGGAGGAGAGAAATACACTCTAGCCCAGGAGAGATAGGCTGAGACAGGATGGACTGAGAACCGACTAAGAAGAAATTTATCTGAGTGGCAAGTTAACTGGTCATACTCTCCAGGCTTGACTTTATTTTGAACTGACTAAAATATAACTACAAGGACAAACTGATAGAGCCGGAAAGAGAATGGTAAAGTAGAGGCAGATAGGAAAAGAATCTGAGTCAGCCTCCCTCTGCCTCCCTCTTCCCCTCGTCCTCCCATCTCCCTCTCTGAGGATCATGAAATTCTGCTGTAAGGAAAATAGGAAGACATAGAGAAAACTCTGGGAGCAGCCAAATTTCATTAATTCTGATTAACTTGGAAGAATGAGATAGGAATTGGTAAGAAGTCTTGATTACAGACCACTTAAAAAGAAATATATACCATCGCTTGTAAAAGATCACTAACAAAATATTTCCCAGGGGAGGCCCTGATGAGCTTACTTTAATAACCAAGGCTTATTTACAATCAACATCATCCAACTGCATAAACAGAATATCCTAATAAAGAACACTTTTCTGTTAAGTTAATATAACCCCCGACTCTCCCCATTTTGCTAACATTGTATATTGCCTTGAAAGCCCTTTCTTCATACTCCAAAATAAGGTAAACTTTGGCCCAGAATGTAGTAGAGATCAGTGGAGAGTTTGGGAACTATCTCTCCAACCCAAGGGTCCCCTGGAAAATGGGAGTATGGCTAATAACAAGCAACCTCTTTGACCCCACCCCAACCCCATACACACCCACACAAAGACACTCACACCCCCATGGTGGTCCTTGAAATGGAAAGGGGAAGGAGGAGGCAGGCAGTTTGCATTAGACACAGTTTAATCAGCTTCGAATAGATTAAAAGTTCTAGTTTACACTTCCCCCCTCCCCATAAGTCATCCAGACAGGGCCCTAGCTTAGAAAGAGAAAAACACAGGTGTTCTAGGAAATATAGCCACATATAATACATAAATCTTCTTCCCTGAAATAGAGCAGGTCCTGAGCAGAGCTGACTGGGGGCCACAGCCCACCCCCAGGGTAAAGCGACTCTGGGACTCTGCCAGTGGAAGTGCTGGAAGAGTGAGGCTTGGAGGAAGCCCCCGGTGTGGTTACCAAGCCCAAGGTGGGCCAAGGCCTTGGAGTAGGTTACCCGGGAGGGCAGCAGTGCTGGGATTTCCCTTTTCACTCTGCCAAGGCCTAATGGAAGTACTAGTTGTCCTGTTTTTTCTTTTCTTTTTTTTTTTTTGAGGGGACGTAGGGAGAGAGGAGAAGAGAGGAGAGGAGAGCCTCTCTGTGCCTTGGTTTCCCCATTTGTGCATTCAGGGCCTCTGCAGGCCTCACACAGGGAGTCTGAGGGAGTAGTGTTTAAGCGAGCACTTGGGCTTCCTCTGAGGAAAGGGAACCATCAAAGTGCAGACTTTTATTACTGCCATTTCTGCTCTTAGTGGGAGCAAGAGTTAGAAGGAAAACAAGTTAAAAAGGGCTATTGAGAAAGGAGGAGAAATTGAGACAGAGTGCGAGGGGCCATGATATTGGCATCTCATAAATACTTATTGAAAATGGCACAGGTATTCAAAAGTTTCCAGGTAGTCTATAAGAAATTTAAATTGTTATCTATACTACAACTACTTACATATATCTAATTGGAAAAGACTGGGGCTTGAGGGTTAGAGAGTGAATGGGGGACAAAGGAGAAGCTACATGAATAAATACAACAAGTGGAAGCTACCTGCCCCATTCTTAAAAGGATTTGTTGACAATGTTGGCACTTTGTAGCCAGGAGAATCCTCCAACCCCTCTCTCCATTCTCTTCTATTCTGAAGGCCTCTGGCCAGAGTTCTCTGTGACTGTCTCTGGACTCATGCCATGCAGCAGCTGGAGAGGATTTGAGCCAGTCTCAAGAAACTTTAATCCCAGAATTGGACCAATCACCCCAAGCAGGAGAGCCGGGATTTGGAGGGAAGAGAGGAGAGTCCAAGGAAACTCTGTGGCTGAGGCTGTGGGAAACCAGTGCCAGGGCCCAAGAAACCCATTTGTCCAGTTACCAGAGGTCACTGACATCTTCTGTGACTGCCTTGAGTCCAGGGGAGGGGGGAAACTTGCAGCAAGAAAACGTCAGTGTGCAACTGGGTGAATAAAGACCAAAGAAAAACAGTAAAGTGAACAGCTTACTTGCTCTCTGTCTCAGGTTTATCTTCTCCCCTTAAATCTCTCACAGCTCTAATTAAACACAAACAAAAGTCTCTTCCACAAATAGGCTACTTCTCAGTTTCAGCCACCTCCTGTGGTGGCTCTGGGGGTACCGGGGGTGGCATTTCTTCAGGAGTGCTGGTGTCCTCCGGCATTTCATTTGAGCTCAGATGTTCTGTTAGAGGCTGAGAAGGAAAAGATAGCAAATTCAATACAAAGCACACTCTCAAAATCCAATTGAAGATAATCAGTACACACTGAGCTCTTCCTGTCAACCTATCAACCACACCAATGTTACAGATATGCAATCAACACCAAACTCAGAGCCAAGACCAGACCGTTGTCATCTTCTCAGCAGGATGCAACTGATGTTTATTTGAGTTCTATTCTTAACTGATGTGGAGAGATGCTACCATTATTATTCATGATAATAATAATGGGACCACAAATAATTACACATGTCCCTGCCCTTCACAACAGAATGTTATAACATACTTGTCTAACAATACCTGATCAGTGGTTCTCAATCTTGTTTCTGCCCTAACACACAACTCACGAAAATAGTGATTCTAAACCAAAGTGATTGGGATAGCAAAATTTTACAATGATATATATGGTTTTGAAAATGTCTCTAGAGGGATTCTAAAATACCACCCTTTCCCACACTCAGCTGAGAATCACTAACCTAAATTATTATGATTTAAAACCAGACTCATCACAAAAATTATTATCAAAATGATGATAATATATAAAAGTGGGTTTGCTGTATTTCAAAAAAAAATTCAAATTTTAGGAAAGTAGAGAACAATTATCTACCTTATGAAAAGCATTCACTTAAAGGTAGGATTCTATTTTAAAAGAAAAATTCAAGTCTACTAAAAATCTATTATATAGAACTAATAAACAAATTCAGCAAAGTTTTAGGATACAAGATAAATATACAAAATTGATTGTATTTCTATATACACTCAATGAATAATCCAAAAATGAAATTAGGAAAATAATTTCACTTATAATAATATCAAAAAGAATAAAATACTTCTGAATAAACATAACAAAAGAAGTATCAAACTTTTACTCTGAAAACTAAAAACGTTGTTGAAAGATATTAAAGAAGACCTAAATAAATGAAAAGACAGCTCATGTTAATGGCTTGGATGACTTAATCTTCTTAGGATGGCAATACTCCCCAAATTGATCCATAGAATCAATATGATCCCCATCAAAATTCCAACTAGCTTCTTTGCAGAAATTAAGAAGCTGATCTTAAATTTCATATGGAAATTCGAGGGACTCAGAATAGACAAACAATTGAATAAATAAAGAATAAAGTTGGAGGACTCACACTTCTTAATTTCAAAACTTACTACAACACCATAGTAACCAAGACAGTATGGTACTGGCATAAGAATAGGCATATTGATCAATGAAATAGGATTGAGAGTCCACAGACAAACTCTCACATTTATGGTTTTGATGAGGGTACCAAGACAATTCAATGGAGAAAGAATAGTCTTTCCAACAAACAACATCGAGACAACTGGATAGCCACATGCAAAAGAAAGAATTCGGATCCCCTATCTCATGCCATAAATGAAAATTAACTCAAAATGGATCGAAGACCTAAATGTAAGAGCTAAAACTATAAAACTTTTAGAAGAAAACAGAGGCATACATCTTTATGACCTTGGATTAGTCAATGGTCTCTTAGATCTGATCACAAAAGCACAGTCACAACAACATAGATAAATTAGACTACATCAAAATTTAAACCTTTTAAAGGACACCATCAAAAAGAATGAAAAGACAACCCACAGAATGCGAGAAAATATTTGCAAATCATATATCTGATAAGGGACTTGTATATAAAATATATAAAGAATTCTGGGGGTGGCTCCATAGTGTAGTGGTTAGCACGTCTGCTTTACACACAGAAGGTCCCGGGTTCGCGCCCCAAGTGGAGCCACACACCATACCCCAGGCGTGCCAGGCCCCGGGTGCACCAGGCCCCCCAGGTGTGCCAGGCCCTGAGGATGCCAGGCCCTGGGTGCACGCCCCAAGCATGTGGGAGGAGACACCCCACCCCGCTTTCAGAGATCCAGTTCTTAAGGGGAAATGACAACATCCATAGGTCAGGGGTGGAACTGTGAGGGAGGGGAATTAAAGATGGGAAAAATAAATAAAAATAAAATATACAAAAAATTCTTACAACTCAACAATAAAAAAAAACTCAAATTGACAAAGGATCTGAATAGACACTTCTCCAAAGATATACACATGACCAAGATGCTCATGAAACGATGTTCAACATCATTAGTCATCAAAGAAATGTAAATCAAAACCAAAATGAGATACTACTTCACACCCGCCAGGATGGCTAGAATCAAAATGTCAGATAATAAATGATGACAAGGATATGAAGAAATTAGAACCCTCATATACTACTGGTGTAGATGTAAAATGGTGCAGCCACTTTGAAAAACAGTCAAGCAATTCTTCAAAAGGCTAAAAATATAGTTACCATATGACCCGGCAATTTTACTCCCAGGTACACAGTGAAAAGAAATGAAAACATGTTCATGCAAAAACTTGTACGTAAATGTTTATAGCACCATTATTCATAATAATCAAAATGTGGAAACTACCCAAATGTCCACTGACTAATGAATGGATAAATAAAATATGGTCTAATCATATAATGGAATATTATTCAACCATATAAAAGAATGAAGTACTGCTACATGCTGCTACATGGATGAACCTTGAAAATATTATGCTAAATGAAAGAAGCCAGTCACAAAGACCACATACTATATGATTCCATTTATAAAATGCGTGGAAGAGGCAAATCTGTAAAGAGAGTAGATTAGTAGTTGCCTAGGGCTGCAGCTGGAGAAATTGGGGAGAAAGGGAAAATAACTACTAATGAGTACAGGGTTTTTGAAGGGGAATAATGAAATATTTTAAAAGTGATTATTGGGATGATTGTACAACTCTGTAAATATACTACAAACCAGCGAATTGTACATTTGAAATAAGGATTTTATGGTATGTGAATTATATTTCAATAAAGCTACTATAAAAAACGAAAGTTCTGATAACAAATTTTTAGGAACATACTGTATAAAGTATATCTTGAGCAGGACAGCTGGGTGAGTCCCCACAATATCTGCATATTCCAGTGAAGAAGCACCCTTCTACCAAAGTAACCACACCACTAACTCCAACCCACTCTCCAATCCCTATCTTTGCTCCTATAGCATTTTATGCTTCCCTCGTCAAGGCACTTTTCATGATGTCCAGCAACAGCCTGTTTTCTCATCTCTCATCCCCACTAGACAATGAGCTCCTTGAAAGCATGGACATCATTTGCCTTGTTCACTGGCGTATCCTGCACCTAACACAGTGGCTGGCACAGAATGTCGAAGAAATCCTAATCTACCTCAAGGGCACAAAGATCTTAGGGGATGCAAGGACAGAAGCAGAGACAGGGCAGCTAGAGTGACTGGACGTGAAACTGCCTAATTATATCTCTAAGGTGTAAATTTAGCCTACATTCTCTATCACCGACTCAGCCTTAAAGTCTTAAAATCAAGAACACTTACTGGACTCTGTGGCAAGAGGCTGCTACTCGTCTCTTGAGTACTGGGAGGTCGACTTCCACTTTCCTCCAGTGGCAAAATACCCCTTCGATCCAGCACACTAAAGGAAATAGGAGAGTTACTAAAGTACTTCACATTCACCCTTCCACCCATCCACCCATTGAAACTTGTTGTATATACTGGAAAACATAAACCTGCCCTTTGACAGTCCAGCCTGATCCTAGCAAATGCCTTCTGTCTTCCATTTACTTTTTTCCCCACAAACTAGGGAACACCACATCAGTCAGGGAATAAATAAAATAAGAATGAAAGGTTAACCCTTCAAAACAACTAGCCCGACAACATGGATGGACCTCGAGATAATCATGCTAAGCGAAATAATCTAGACAGAAAAAGTTGAAAATGACATATCACTTATATGTGGGCTATAAACCTAAAATAACAATTAAACAGGATAAACAGAGACTCATGGACATGGACTATAGACTAGTGGTTACCAGAGGGTAGGGGGTGGGGGGAGGTGGGAGGTAGACGGGGTAAAGGAGGTCAAATATGTGGTGACAGAAAAAAATCTAACTATGGGAGGTGAACACACAGTGTAAATATATATATATATCCCTTACTGTTAAATAGATAAATAGATAGATAGATAGATAGATAGATAGATAGATAGATAGATAGATAGATAGATAGATAGAATCACTAAAAAAAAAAAACTAGCCATGGTCTATGGTCCATGTAGCTTTGGCACCAAGGGACAATCCTTGGGAAGATATATTTGACACAAAGAGGCCACATTCAGAAAAAGGCATCAGACCAGGTAATGAGATCAGGTTGAGATGCTAGTCCCAAGAGTCCCAGGGACCTTGAGTACCTGGGGGGCAAGGGGCCACACAGCACTTCACAGCAGTTCTTCACAATGTTGCCATGGCTGTAGGGATTCTGGACACGATTCTTCCCTGTCCATGAGCCTTTGATCTGCAAGATAAAAGCCAAAGCTTACATAAAAATTTTTGTTGAAAAAATATATGAGACATGGAAAGATAAAACAAAGTCTGGAGATGGATGGTGGTGATGGTTATACAACATAACTATATTTAATGCCATTGAATTATACTTAAAAAATAGTTAACAGAGTACATTTTATGTATTGCGTATCTTACAATAAGAAAAGGGAAAAAAGTACATGCATAGTAATGGAAAAATGTTCACAATAGAGTGAAAAATGCAGATAACTGAATGATATTATTATTTTCACTTAAAAATACAAAATAAAAAACACAAAATATATAGTCACATAAACAAACGTGGGAACAAGTCTAAAGTCTAGAAAGAAGACTATATATCGTACCATTAATAGTGGTAATGTCTAGGAGATAAAGCTACAGGAACTTATTTGCTATTTTTTGCTCATCTGTATTTTCTGATTTTCTACAGTGAACACAAATTGGTAACTTAAAAAGCAAGAATTTATTCAGTGCACCTGTCCCTGTCCATTCCAAATCCAGAGGCATCAACTATCTTTTAAAGACCTATGAACAGCTGAAGAACTTGTACCCACCCAATGATTCAACCTCTTATTTCTAATTCTCTATAGGCATTTGGCTGAAAACAAAGCAGTCTACTTTCTCTTTTGCGTATCAAATTTAACAATCACCCATACCATGTTTCTGCCTGCCTCAACCTCTCAGGCCCTGGAGACCCAGTTCTCTAGCAGGTAAAAACAGGCTTTGGGGAGAAGAAGAATATGTGTTCATAAGGGAAAGTTAACTCACATCTTCATTGGTTGTCTGGTTGAGAGCCACAAGGAAAGTGTGAAATCCAGTCAGTCCCACGACGGACCAGAGTGTGAAGAAACAAATGAGTACTTCTAGAACAGTAAGGTAATGTTAAGGAATGTTGAAGAAGCCACACAAGGGGACTCAATGCCTCTGCTCATATTCATAGCACTAGTCACACTATCTTTACCTCTCAGAACATATATCACAAATGACCGAGTATCCATATATAACAACAGGCAAATTCTAAACTCACTGGATATAACACTTATGACAGGTAAAGATTCCTGGTTATTCATTATGAGTAACTCTCTAACATCTCTAGTGAATCTGCCTGTTTACTCATCATTAGCTCTTCGAAGGTGACATTTATGAGGGGGGCAAAGTTAAACAATGTTGGCCATCACTGCCAATGGAAAATCTATCAAAAAATTTTATAAATAATAAATTGGTGGGAAAAACAGGATGTGACTTATAGAAATCCCAACTGAATCTCATTTTCAGAAATGCAACTGCTGTACAAAATAAGCCTTAGCTGTAACAGGAAGGTGGGACTTCCAGCAAGTTACTTAAGAAGTCTATTGAGGCAAAGACAACCTTCTATAGAAAGCAGGGCTGAGTGTGGGATCAGAAGGACTTGGGAGGGAAGCAGTAGAGACGGGGGTAAGGGAAAGACCTCCCTTTAAGTCCTGGCCATCTTCCATTCTGGTTGCTACCACTAAGACTACATCTTTTTTTTTAGACTTTGGTATTCTCTGACATCTTAAAAATGAGATGATGGGAGAACTGCATATGGAAAGCATGCTGAAAAGTAATTTAAAAGGGATTCACAGGCACATACTGCCAAGGGAGGATATGTTCCAGGAGTTTCTTTCAACGTCTCCAGGAAGCCAATTTTCAAGGATTCTGTGAAATTGTGAGGAGGAATAGAGAGAAAAATTAGTGACTTTAGTAAAAAAATGCATATTTATCCCAGTACTTACTTCCTTTCCTCTCTATCCCCTGTTACAAGCTGACATGAGATAAGCCCTCACTCAGACAAGGGATTCTCAGCTCTAAGCCAGTAGTTTCCTGACCAAAGTGTTCACATCTCCAACGTGGGACCCAGCACTAAACTAGAGATTCAGGCAGAAGCCAATCACCTGGCTCCTCTCCCTTTTCCTTAGCCCCTAACTATGGGCATGGAGAGGGATATTCATTCATAGATTAAAGAAATCAGAAATATCCAAGAAAAATTCTCTCTCCTCACCAATCTGTGTCCTCCCTTATTCAAAATCTAGCTGAGAACTCATCTCTTCCCAGAAAGCTATCTTGATCAAGACCACTCCTTTAACTCCATATCCCATCTGTCCTTATTTATTATCTGATGATTTATGTGTGTATGTATGTGTGTGTGCACATGCACACATGTGAGTGTGAATTTTCGATCTCCCAAAGTAAACCAAGAGCTAATAAAAGGCATTCTGTGTATAAGTGCTTCTACTACCTGGCACAGAGAAGGTCTTACAAGGCAGAAAAAGAGAGGATGCAGACAGGAAAAACACATCTCCAAGTTTTGGGATCACCTCAGAAATTCCCAGTACTCTGGGTACAGACCAGCTATTATGATCCCAGTCCCCAACAGAGGGCCAGTGAGAAGGCCAAAACACTCAGTAAATACTAATTGATGTGAGCTAAGGTTTGGAGGCCTGCTCGAGAGCAGACGTTAAAGCTCATTTCTAACTGGTCCTAAGGCACCTTCACAATGGTAAAGTTGCACCAGGAAACCCAACCACTCCCCTAAACTGTCTTCAAGTCTTCTCCCACCCCCACTCCAATAATACACACTACCCTGCATACTCACTGAGGGCCACATAGACGATGTTGAAGGCGAAGACATATATGGTGAGGAGAGAGAGAGAAAGGATGAAGAGGTAGAAGTAGCGGTAGTTCCTCTTTCCAACACAATTCCCCACCCAGGGACAGTGATGGTCGAAGCGCTCTGTGGAAGAAAGAGAGTCCAGTGCCAAAGCCTCCAAAACACAGTGCAAACCCACTATCCATGTAGTAACTAATTAAAAAACCCCAGGATCATTGCTTATTTCAACTGTAAGAAACTAGTTTCTATTTTTTACTTTTTCGCAATGTTTTCATAGCCATCTCATTTGGTCCCCATAATCACCCTGGAAGTTAAGCAAAAGAAGATATTCTTTTCTCCATTTACAGATGAGGAAACTGAGGCACTGAAGCATTAAGTGATCAGTCTCACTGCCAGTTAACACAGAGACATTGCTTTTCCAAAGAAAAATCTTAGCAGGTAGGCCTACTAAGTTCAGGAAGAAAAAATAAGTAAAAATAGCCAAGGAAGTTTCGAAAAATGAGTAATGTTGTTTTTCTTCACCTCCAGTTAGCAAAAGACTATAAAACTACAATACTTAAAATGGTGTGGCATAGCTCAATGGAATGAAGAGTACCCAGAAACACTTTAGAATATATAAGAATTCTCTGTCTAATAAAGGTGGCATTACAAAATCAGTGATGAAAGGAAGTATTGTTCCATAAACGACTCTGAGACAATTGGCAATTTGGTGGAAGATAGGGTTATATTTTTCCCCTCACACTATCAAAAGTAATTTCAGAAGAATTAAAGAGTTAAATGTAAAAACAAAGTGAAACCATAAAATAAGCATAAATGATAGACAAAGATTTATGCCCCATACAAAGAAGGATTTTCTGAACATAAAAGTAATGGGAAAAAAAACACAGATGACAAAGAAAAATAGATTTGATTCCACAAACTTAAAAAAAATATTCTATATACATTAAATATACTATAAAAAATTAAAAAGGAAAAAAAAAAAAAAAGTCCTTACAACAATAACAAAATACAAATACTCCTTCAAGGAAATAGTCAAAAGGCAAAAAGTTAATAAATACCATATAAAATATATTTAAATGTTTTCAGATTCACTTATAATTCAGTGCAATGCTAGTACAACAATAAGACATTTTTTGCCTAGCAAAATAAGAACATAAAAAATAATATCAGTGCTAATGAGAATAGGGTAAATGAACACTCTAATATACTGTTTGTGGGAGTATAAATTTAGAGAACCATTCTGGAAAGTAATTTAGTAATGTGCATCAAAAGTCTTAATAATGCTCACACTCCTCTAGCAGAATACATTTTCAGTAATCGCATAAGGAAATAGAGATATACTATTTCCTTTATGAATTTTTATGAATTTGCCTACTCTAGATATTTCATATAAGTAGACTGATACAATATGTGGCCTTTTGTGTCTGGCTTCTTTCACTTAGCTTTATGTTTTCAAGGTTCATACATGTTGTGGCATGTATCAGGACTTCATTCTTCCTTGCGGCTGAATAATATTTCATCGTATAGATATACCACATTTTGTTTATCCATTCAGCCGCCGATGGACACTTGGGTTGTTTCCATCTTTTGGCTATTGTGAACAATGTTGCTATGAACACTGACGTACAAAAATGTTTGAATCTCTGTTTTCAATTCTCTTTGGTATTGTTACAAACAGAATTGTGTCCCCCCAGATTCATATGTGGAAGCCCTAACCCCCAATGTGACTGTATTTGGAGATAGGACTTCTAAGAAGGTAACTAAGGTTAAATGAGCCATAAGGGTGAAGCCTTAATCCTATAAGACTGGTATCCTTAAAAGAAGAGGACAAGGCACCAGAAGTGCACAAGCACAGAAACAAGGTCCACATAAGGACACAGCAAGAAAGTGGCCACCTGCAAGCCAGAGAGAGAGAGAGGCCTCACCAGAAATCAACCCTGTCGACCCCTTGATCTTGGACTTCTAGCCTCCAGAATTGTGAGAAAATTAACTTCTGTTATTTAAGCCACCCATTCTGTGATATTTTGTTATGGCAGCCCAAGCAGGTTAATACAGGTATATACCCAGGAATGGAATTGCTGGGTCATGTAATAATTCTATTCTTAACTTTTTAAAAAAATTTATTTATTTTAATTAGTTTCAAGTACACAGTACATTGGATAGACATCTATACAGTTTGTAAAATGGTCACCTCCCCAACTGCTGCCTCCCTCCCCTGAACTTCCACCTAGCCAACATCGTCATTCTAAATGCATTGTCTATGCTGTGTTCCCCATCCCCATGTCCATCCATCAGCTACTAATTTGTACTTCTTTAACCCTTCACCCCATTCTCCCAGCCCCCCAAACGTCCCTCCTCTCTGTCCATCACCAAATTGTCCACTATAGTTGTGAGTCTATTTTTGATTAGTTTGTTCTTTTTATTCCTTAGATTCTGCATATAAGTGAAATCATATAGTATTTATCTTTCTCTGTCTGACTTAAATACCTTCTAGATCCATCAAAGCAATATGTTTTTCCATCCCCTTCCTTTTAGTCTGTCTTTTAATCTGAAGTAAATCTCTTATAGGAAACATGTAGGGGTCTTGTTTTCCTTTCCATTCAGCCACTCTACCTTTTAGTTGGAGCATTTAATTCTTTTCCATTTGAGGTACTTATTGATAGGAATGTAGTTGTCACCATTCTTTATTCCTGTTTTTGATACATGTTTTTTCTTCTTAAAGAAGTCCCTCCAACATTTCCTGTAATACTGGCTTGGTGGTGATAAATTCCTTTAGCTTACTTTTGTCTAGGAAGCTCTTTAACTGTCCTTCAACTCTAAATGATAGCTTTACTGGATAAATTATTCTTGGTTGTATATCCTGGGTCTTCATCCTGTGGAAAATTTTTTCCAAGCCCTCTGTCCTGCATAGTTTCTTTTGAGAAATCAGCTG